AAGATAGTGATAAGTTTAGTGAATTCATAAAGTGTTTTGAGTGACAGGTGGCTGTTTATGCCATCTGAGAAAGGGACTTTAGAGCTGAGAACTGAATGATTGAGAAGACTGCCATGCTATCTGAAGTCACATTCCAAGCAGAGAAAACCACAAGGGTGTGAGCCCTAAGATGTCACATCTGAGGGCTAGAAAGCTAGCCAGTGAACTGGGAAATAGAGAATTAAGGGGAAATGTGTAGCAGATGAAGTCAGAGAGGTATGTCACAAGGTGCGGGTCCACAGATCACACTCAGCCCACAGTGTTTTTGATATTTCACTGAAAAACAATCCTGACTTGCAATTTATCTTAAGTCAAAAAAAAAAAAATTTGGGCCGGGTGTGGTGGCTCATGCCTGTAATCCCAGCACTTTGGGAGGCCAAGGCTAGCAGATCACAAGGTCAGGAGATCGAGACCATCCCGGTTAACATGGTGAAACTCCGTCTCTACTAAAAATACAAAAAAATTAGCCAGGCATGGTGGCGGGCACCTGTAGTCCCAGCTACTCAGAAGGCTGAGGCAGAATGGCGTGAACCTGGGAGGCAGAGGTTGCAGTGAGCCGAGATCGCGCCACTGCACGACAGAGCGACACTCCGTCTCAAAAACAAAAACAAAAACCAAAAACCAAAAAAAAAAAAAAAACACCACCAAAACCAAAAAACAAATTGTCCATGCCACTATGCCAGGCCGTTATTCCTGAATAACAGTTGCATTCAACGTAGAACAGTTATGCTCTCCTGTCCCCTTCCACACCACTTTAATGGGGCTTAGTGTCATCAGTTTGTAAGTAGTAGACATTTGAATTAGCAACCCCTGAATACCATGTGGACTTAATAAGGGCTTGGATTTCTTACCCCCACCACCCCCCAGTGTGATGGAAGCATATAATGGTTTTAAATGATGGAGTGACTTAATCTAAAATTTTAAGATCATTCTGACTACTCTGTGAGAATAGATTGTGATGAGGGTGAGGGGATAGGCAACAATGAATGAGATGTTGGTGGCTAGGGCCGGTGAGAAAGAAGTGGACAGATTTTAGGCATATTTTAGAGGTAGAATGGACAGGACTTAACTAGTGCATTAAATTTGAGGGAAAGGAATGACAATGAATGATGGCCCCCAGGGTTTGCCTTGAGCATCTGGGTGGGTAGTGGTGCCATTTACTGAGACAAGTCTCAGTAAAATTTACTCAGTAAAATTTATTGAGACAAGTTCTCAGTAAACCTGAGAACAGGTTTGAGAAGAAAATCAAAGCTCTGTTTGAGAGTTATTCTATTTTGGACACCTATTAAACCTCGAAGTGGAATGTTAGGTAGGTACTTAGCCAAGCCAGAAGCTTAGGAGGAAGGACAAGGTTGGAGATGTAAATTGGGAATCTTCAGTACATAGGTGATATTTAAACCCATAGGAATGGATGAGATCAGTGAGGGAGGAAATGTAGATATAAAACTGAATGTGGGGAGTTTTGGCATTTTTTTTCCCCCTGTTCAAACTTTTTTTTTTTTTGAGAGATGGAGTCTTGCTTTGTCACCCAGGCTGGGGTGCACTGGTGCGATCTCAGCTCACTGCAACCTCTGCCTCCCGGGTTCAAGTGATTCTCCCACCTTGGCTTCCCAAGTAGCTGGGATTACAGGCATGCACTGCCAGGCCCAGCTAATTTTTGTGTTTATTTATTTATTTTTTAGTAGAGATGGGGTTTCACTATATGTTGGCCAGGCTGGTCTCAAACTCCTGACCTCAGGTGATCTGCCTGCCTCGGTCTCCCAAAGTGCTGGGATTATAGGTGTGAGCCACACAGCCCGGCCCTTGTTCAAATTTAAATCTTCTATACTCCTGGTATTATATAGGCTAAGACTATTAGTTTGAAAAAGCAATCTAAGGTTATCTATCTAGTCATCATTCCTGTGAATATTTACTCAAACCCCCGGCACAACATCTAGCCAAACAGCTAGCCAATTGGTACTTGACAGGAAACACACTATTTCCATTAAGATCTTCCATTCTGTGTTCATCAGAATGAGTCCATGTCTTGCTGGACTCTCACCATACCCCTGTGAGGAATTACATGTCTTCATGTTATAGTGGATCAAAGTAAGGCTCAGAGACGTGACTTGGCCAAGCTTATTAACCATTAAAAAGTAGAGTGGAAACTTGAATGCAGGTCTTCTGTTCCAATTCCATGGTTCTTTCCATTACTACTCACTAATCTAGTGATTGTTACTATTAAAGATTTTAGGCCTAAATTACATTTTCTCCTGCAATTTTAATTCCATAGCCTATTTTGTCCCCTGGTGTGTAAAAAGCAGTAATTACTTCCATCATTAGATAGCAAATTTTAAGGCACTGGACACATATACATTTGAAGGCTAGTTGGATCAGCATTTTTTCCTTCTTCCAAGTTAGGTGTATTGATTTAAATTGGTAAGTGAAGCTGGGTGAGAGGATACCTTTATAGCATTTACACTTCTATATTGTGATGATGGCTGAATTGGGGGCTTTCTAAAATGAGAAGTGACTGGAAGGAGTCCTTGGGAACAATTCTTACAATTTAGGAACAATGATGGTATTCAGTCAAATGCCAAAACCTGTTTGACTTAGCTCAGAGAAGGTATAATAATGGAGCTTTCCAATGTGTAAGTGGATCAGGAAAGATGCACTAGCTCCTGTAGCTGTTTACACTGACCTCAAATTCAACAAGGACTCATTGGGCACTGATTATGGTCAGGGCCCCATTTCTACTGCTCTGGAATGGAGCTTTGAGAATCAGATTTTGAGGGCTTCCTAAAAGCCCAATGGGGGGGTTCACATTAGTAACACACACCTGGCACTTATTAAGCAGTGTTACAATTAAGGACTCAATCTACAAGGGTAAATTGTTAACTTAGAAAGTTCACATTCCTTAGAGCTTGGTATTTAAGGTCCTCCACATGTTCCTAATCTATATTTTCAATCATAATTCCCACTGTTGCCAGGAGTGAACCCTCTGCTCTAGTTAAATTGGATGCTGGCTACCTCCTGAGCATGTTTATCTTTTCACCTGGATACCTTACTCTTTAGATCTATGCTGTTTTTTATAGTAGTCACTAGTCACATATGGCTATTCAGTACTTGAAGTGTGGCCAGTCTAAACTGAGATGTGCTGTTAGATACACCTAGATTTCAAAAATGTAGTAAAAATAATTGATTTTAAATATTAACTACATATTGGAACATTAATATTCTGGGCATAAAACACATTAAAACTACTTTTACTTCTTTTTACTTTGGCTACTAGAAAATGTAAAATTTATGGCTTGCATTATATTTTTTGACTTTCTGAGACAGGGTCATACTGTTACCCATGCGGGAGTACAGTGGCACAATCACAGTTCACTGCAGCCTCCACCTCCCCTGGCACAGGTGATCCTCCCACCTCAGCATCCCAAGTAGCTGGGACTACAGGTGCATGCCACCACACCCAGATAATTTTTTTTTTTTTGTATTTTTTGTAGAGATGGGGTTTTGCCATGTTGCCCAGGCTGGTCTTGAACTTCTGAGGTCAAGTGATCCACCCGCCTCGGATTCCCAAAGTGCTAGGATTATAGGCATGAGCCACCACACCCAGCGGCATTATATCTTTAGTGGACAGTACTCCACTAGATTGTTAGCCAAGGCAGTACTGGGCCCACCATTCAAACCTATATTTGTACTTTCTTACTGGCGTAATAGTGATGAACGAAGGGAAAATTCTGAGTAACAGTGGGTTCACACATTTGAGGCAAGCAAGCCATGTCTCATCAAATGGAAGCTGCTATCACTGATCAGCTAACAGCTCAAGGAAGAAGACTGCCAAAGGCAGCAGGACAATTATTAATAATAATTTGTGGTACACAGCAACTGTTCAATAAGTGTTAGATAACTCCTTTTAGGCAGTGACACTAAATACAAACAAAATCTTGAATTCCGTACTTATCCCTCCTGTTTTTCTTCTTCCACTTCTAGTCACTAAAATTTAGCTATTCCTTTGAAAATCTTTCACTTCTATTCCTTTTCTCCCAATCCACAGCTAATCAGTCTTGTCACCTCGCTTTTGAAAATATAGTTTTCAAATAGCTCCTAGTTTCCTTCTACCCTCCCTGTGTTCATTCCATTCTATATACTGTTAATGTTCCATGATATTTCTTTGCAGATGTCATTCTTCGCTCAAAACCTCCATTTTCATATGAACTTCATAAAAAGTTTTCACTTAGCATTCAAAGCTTTTCAAACCTTATCTCTTGGTACTCCTCTCCATAAAAAAGGAATTTAGGGAAACTAGATTGAGTTAATATATGTAAAGCACTTACAACCATACCTGGCCCATACTAAGAACTATATAGGTCTTAGCTATTATTATTATTGCTCACTTTTATTTGAATATGCTGTATGCATTTCTACTCCAGAACACTGCTAAGTCCCTTTTCCTATTTGAGTACCTCAATCTCTAAAGGAAGGAGTGATTTAAACTATCAATGACCAGCAAGAGCCAACTGTTACTGCTGGAAAGACAACTTAAATATTCTTTCTACAATAGATAGGACCTGCAAACAAGGAACTCTAATTTACCACCAAATAACAAAATTTAAGGCTGGATGAAATAAATAAAAGATAATATTTCCTTCATTCAAGAAACAGCAAATTTATGGAATATTATTTAAAGAAAAACATAAATGGGTTCTGGATTTAGGGCAGTTACTCTTTAAATCCTGGCATATATTGGAATAACCTGGGAGCTTTAAAAAACACAGTTGCCTGGACCTCATCCCAGATTTATTGAAGGGGAAGGCCTCAGACACTTGAATTTATTTTAATACTTCATAGGTGATTCTCATGTGCAACCACATCTGAGCAGCATTGGTCTAGTCCAGGGAAACTGGTTTACGGAGGCTGATCGTGTTTGGCATATATTTTTCTGTTTTTAAAATGAAGCATACTAAGAGAACTGATTAACCTATAATGACTTATGTGTTCATGAAGTGTTCTAAAAAAACCAAAGAAACAAGAAAACAAACCTTTTCAACTTGATGTAGGGTTCAGAAGATAAATACATTACAAATACCACAGTGAGCATTCATTTAAAAGTTTGCCGGTTGGTCTTTCTATTAATTAAAAAAATTCAAAACAGAATTACTTAATATAGATTTAACTATGTACAATATTTACAACGAAAGTATACAGTTAAGTCTGTTGTGGAACAGTTGGCATTTTGGTATATAACACTTCAGAAATTTCAAAAACAACTTTACCTCAAAAACATTTTACACAAATTTTCCAAAGTGCTGTAGCTCACTGGCTCATTTTATCTTAACAATCCAGTTTAGCAATCCAGGTACCCAATCTCTAGGCATGAAGTAACCGATATACTACTGAGAGACAGCACTTTTATACAATAGCAGAGGCTGTTAGAAACCTTGGGTCTTTAAAACCTTATAACAATGCCCCTTTCACTCTCCAATCCTGAGACAACAAATCCTGTAGTTCCCCCTCATCATCGCTGTCAGCATTCTCTTCTTCCTTTTTCTGCAGTTCTTTTATGGTCAGGATTTCTTTAAGTTTATTTTTTATTTCATCCTGGCGATTCCGTAGCTTTTCCACCCGTCGATAACACTCAATCTGCTCATCGATCTCCCCAATCTGGCGGTCCAACCGTCCCTCCTCATCCTCTTCGGCAACTATGGCTTCGGAAATAGTGTTGACCTGCCTCATGGCTTTTTGGAATTCGTCCCACTCTTTGTCCATCTGATCTTTTGGGGCATCAACCTTTCGCACCCTTGCATCTACCTCAGGGTCGTCAAAAAAACCTTCCGGTAACGCTTCCGCGGTGTTTTCTCTCCTTTCCACCACTTTTTCATGTATTTCTGCTTTCTCAATTGACCCTGAATGAGGAATTATGGGGGCCTTGGGAGGATTAGTACTAAAGAAATCGTCTGGCAGCACACTACTTGTTACCTCCCGCGAAGAAGAAACTGAGTGCTCCTTGCCCTGTGCGTCGGACAGCGGCTTGCTGGCGTCCCCCCTTTTTCTTTCTCCATCTCCTTCCTCCTCCTCTTCCTCCTCCTCCTCATCTTCATAATCGGGGAGTAAACTGAGTCCTGAAGGCTTACTGGAAGTCGTTCTAATGAACTCCTTTCCTATTTTGTCAAAGTTGGTGGGCAACGCAGATGTGGAGGGCTGTACCTGAGGCACCAAGGTGGCCTTCGCTCTCTTGGCGTCTTGGCCGTCTGCATCTGGCGCTTTCCTCTTGACGGTCTGAGGCGCTGAGCTGGCAGACGAACCCTGGCTGGCTTCCTTCGCGCCTTTCAGCTCGGCCACTTTCTCTCGGTGCTGCTTTCCCAGGACGTGAGTCTGCCACAGGAGCTCGCTCTTAACCGGGGTGTTACACAGGGCACAACTCAGCTGCCCCAAACGGTTGTACTTCGCGAATGGAGATTCTATCCGTTTCCGATTGGTGCTCAGACGCTGCTTCTCCTTCATTAACCGCCGCAATTCTTCCTGATTTACCACTCGCTTCCCGGCCGGAGTCCTAGCGGAGGCGGAGGACGCCATCTTGGCGACCAGACCCAAAGCGATCCTGGTTTCCGTCCGGCGAGGCATGATAATGTCACTTCCTGTAAGGGCGATGATTGGCCGAGGTTCAAGAGAGCGTGGCGTAGCGTTGGCGTTTTTGCTTAGAATCGCGACTAAGGCTTTTTTTTTTTTTTCCTGTGAACGATTAGGCTATGGCTGCGATAAAGGCCGTAAACTCCAAGGCTGAGGTGGCGCGGGCCCAGGCAGCTTTGTCTGTCAATATATGCGCCGCCCGAGGGTTGCAGGATGTGCTGCGGACCAACTTGGGTCCTAAAGGCACCATGAAAATGTGAGACGGCGGTTGGAGCGGCCGTTAGGCGGCCGGGGGCTTGTTGGGTGTCCTGGAGCCCTCTGAGGCAGGCGTCCGTGGAGCGCTGTGGATGTTCTTGCGAGCTTGATTTCCCTCATTCTCATCCCTGTCCTGAGGGTATTTCTCGCCTGGTGCAGGTGGAGGAGAAAAGCCTCCCCTAGAAGGCCCCAGGAGTGAAATTGTGACGCTCCCCCGACACCCTACTTTTCGTCAAGGTTCATATGCAGTTAGAAAGTCAGTTAATTTAGTGTCTTATTGGAAACATAAAGCATTTAACTTCTCTGCTCTTTAAGACTGTATACCTTTAGTCCATAAATTCAACAAGTAGTTAGTTTTGTACTTTGTGTGGCAATGTATTGTAGTGGAGAGGGCACAGGATTTGGAGCCAGGAGGGCATGAGGTCAAATCCAATTTCTACTTGAATACCCTGTTTCTGTGGTTCTTCATATCTATTCATCTTTTCAGTATATATTAAGCACCATTTTCTCTAGACAAGAGTGAGGAAAAGAGACCAGTGAGGAAAAAAGGGTATAAGAGGAGAGACACATCCTCATAGTAATGAACAAAATAAATTAATATTAATGGTAAAATAAGTCACTTAGGTACTAGTTGCTGGGACACAGAAATGATCAAGATACAGTTTCTGTTCTTAAGGAGATGTGGTAGAGTAGGATGTGCTAATTATATATAGATGCATATGATTATGCTGAGGAAAGGGAATAATTACTGATGGCAGAAGGACAAGCATCTTAAATGATGTTTGATCAGAGTCTTGGATTGGAAGAGGGAGTAAAGGCCTTCTGGGCAGAGTAATTTCAGGAATAAGAAAGACCAATGGTGCAAATCCAATAGAAAAAACAAAACATGGTGTATTAAGGGAACCAGAAGATTTGCTTGTCGGAAAGTAGATGAGTCAGGGAAGAGAGACATAAACCAGATTGAGAAAGGTCAAGTGTCTGCTGTGTTTGGATTTTAACTTGAAAATGATGAAAAACATAAAAATCATTGGAGGACTTTTGATCAGGGAACTGACTGAATCACGTTGCCTTTTAGAAAGAAAAATGTGTGGAGGGTATATTTTAGTTTGGAGATAACTGGATGCTATCCAAGGTAGAGATGATAACAGTGGAGATGGAGAGAAGGGGGCAGATTCAAGAGATATTTAGGTAGTAGAATTGATAGAACTTGGTGATCTAATAAATGCAGGGATGAGGGAAACTAGAGTGACTGACTGAATGAAAACGTTCACCAAAATAAAAACCTGCAGGAAATTTGCAAATTTGTGCTTTGTAGACTTTCAAGTATTCTTTGACCAAACCACTTTTCATAACTCATCAACTGCTTTTATCTTTAAATCTGTAAATGGTCCATTTGGAATGAAATCGCCATAAGCTGTCCATTTGGGGAGAAATGATTCTGTGAGCTGCAAATGGTGGTAATTACCATGGCATATTCCCATGGTACAGTAGTTTTCCAAGCCCAGTTCCCTCTGTTGAGGATAATGGGATGGCAAGCACTGGGAGTGTCTTCCTACCACATGAAGTTAATATCGTTGTTCTCTGAACAGGCTTGTTTCTGGTGCAGGTGACATCAAACTCACCAAAGATGGCAATGTGCTGCTCCAAGAGATGGTGAGCTGATGCTGCTGACTTTAATAAACCTTAATAAGCCTTAATTAGGAGCATAGTAGAACTTGTGTATCTGTAAGCCAAGGCTGTCAGCTAAATACTGCAGTCTTGAGATATGCTTGTTGAATTAGACTTCAATAAAAAAATTTTTTTGGCCGAGTGTGGTAACTCACTCCTGTAATCCCAACACTTTGGGAGGCTGAGGTGGCCAAATTGCTTGAGCCCAGGAGTTCAAGACCAGGCTTGGTGAAACCCGTCTCTACAAAAAAAAAAAAAAAAAAAAAAAAAATTTGCTCAGTGTAGTAGCATGTGCCTGTAGTCCCAGCTACTCAGGAGGCTGAGGTAAGAGGATCACTTGAGCCCAGGAGGCCAAGGCTGCAGTGAACTTGAGATCATGCCACTGCACTCCAGCCTGGGTGACAGAGTGAAACACTGTCTCAAAAAAAAAAGAGTTTTTTTTTCTGGCTCTTTCCAAGTCTTTGTATACTTATACATACGTTGTATACTTAGGCATACTTATAAATTAATAATATCTTTTAGGGTACTGCCTTATGTTCTTTGTAATTATGGAAAAATAAAAATATCCTTTGCAAGTTTAATAAATGTATTCATTTTGAGATTGAAGGATTTAATCTTATTTTAGAAATGTCATTGCATTCTGAAGCAAAGACTTATGAAATCTTCAGACCTCATTACCTGTCACTTTTAAAATTTTGGACTTGACATTTAGGTATTGATATTAGAAAACTTGTAAACTTGTAGAATGAAGCTTATTTCATTTTTTAATTTTACTGCTGACCCCTAGGTTATCTTGTTTTTGGTGACCTACTTTCTTATCTCATCCTCTCTTTTTAAATCTGTTGCTTGCTTTTTCCAGCAAATTCAACATCCAACAGCTTCCTTGATAGCAAAAGTAGCAACAGCTCAGGATGACGTCACAGGAGATGGTACTACTTCAAATGTTCTAATTATTGGAGAGTTATTGAAACAAGCTGATCTGTACATTTCTGAGGTATTAGAATTTCACAGAGTTTATATGTTATTTTGAATGGCAAGTTATTTTTTTAACTAGTAAAGTGATTGCATTTTAGATGTTATTTTTGTTTTATTTAATTAATTAACTATTTATTTTGAGACGGAGTCTCACTGTGTCACCCAGGCTAGAGTGCGGTGACAGGATCTCGACTCATTGCAACCTGCGCCTCCCAGATTCAATCGATTCTCGTGCTTCAGCTTCCCGAGTAGCTGAGATTACAAGCCACCATGCCCAGCTAATTTTTGTATTTTTATTAGAGACAGGGTTTCACTATCATGGCCAGCCTGGTCTCGAGCTCCTGACCTCAGGTGATCCACCAGCCTTGGCTTCCCAGAGTGCTGGGATTACAGACATAAGCCATCACGCCTGGCCTAGACAGTTAATTTTAATTAAGATATTCTTGGACAATTATAAATGGAAATAATAATGAACTTTGTTGGCCAAAATACTGCCTTTTATTGGAATTATATACCTCTTTTAAAAATGAAATATTTAAGAGACATAAAAAAAGTAAAAAATTACCCATGTATCCATGGGTAATTAAGAAAGTAAAACACCATAGATAAAGTTGAAACCAAATTATGCACCCTTGTAAAACAACTGGAGAAAAATTATTGAAGGTTTTCTTTATTGTGAATTTACCTTCCTTTCTAGTTTCATTTTTCTTTATAAATCATCTACTTCAGCCAGACTCCACCATTCACTGGCCTCTGAAAACATCATGTACGTTTCTACCTTTCTCTAATTAAGTATCTCTTTTCTCCGTATCTGAACTTTTTCTGTCTTTCAGGGACCATTTCAGCAAAGCATAACCTTGTCAAAAATGATTCTCTGTGTTTCGTTTAGTATTGGGAATTTTCTATTAATTCAGTACTTGCAACTTAGGATGCTTTTGACTGTAAACAACTTGACTCAAACTCACTTGAACAATAAGAAAATGATTATCTCCCATAATAGAAAATGGAGAGATGAGGCAGACTGTCTGGTCATAAAATTCAGTCTTCAAGTACACAGATTCTTTGTCTCTTAGCTCTTCCACTCACAGTGTTGTTTCATCCTAAGAGTATTTCCATCTGGAAAGTAAGAGGCCGGGCACGGTGGCTCAAGCCTGTAATCCCAGCACTTTGGGAGGCTGAGGTGGGTGGATCACCTGAGGTCGGGAGTTTGAGACCAGCCTGACCAACATGGAGAAACCTCATCTCTACTAAAAATACAAAATTAGCCAGGTGTGGTGGCGCATGCCTGTAATCCCAGCTACTCAGGAGGCTGAGGCAGGAAAATCGCTTGAACCCAGCAGGCGGAGTTTGCAGTAAGCCGAGATTGTGCCATTGCACTCTAACCTGGGCAATAAGAGTGAAACTCCATCTCAAAAAAAAAAAAAAAAAAAAAAAAGTAAGACTAGCTGGGCACAATGGCTCATGCTTGTAATCCCAGCACTTTGGGAGGCTGAGGCAGGAGGATCACTTGAGCCCAGGAATTTGAGACCAGTCTGGGCAACATAGTGAGACCCCGTCTTTAGAAATAATAAAAAAAATTAGGCTTGATGGCATTCCGCATGTGGTCCTAGCTACTTGGGGAGCTGAGGCAAGAGGACTGCCTGAACCCAGGAGGTGCAGGCCGCAGTTAGCCATGTTCGTACCAGTGTACTCCAGCCTGGGTGACAGAGTGAGACTCAGTCTCTAAAAGAGAGAGAGAGAGAAGAGGAGAGGGCAGGACAGAGGAGAGAGAAGAAAGACTGTCAGAGGAAATTAGGCAGAGGGCAAGATAAAGCCATTCAGGAGGCTTTTCTTTGGTAAGATTGGGCCAACTTTAGTATTATGTCCATCCCAAGCCAGTAACAGTTTTTATGGGAATTGACTTAGACTAATCAGGATCTACTCCTTGAGCTTGGGATAAGATCAGCTTTCTCCAAAGCACAAGTGGGAGAGGGAAACCCAAACCAAATTAGGGTTGGGTTAGGAAGAAAGGAGTTTGGCAAGGGTGAGATGCTAACAGACATTATGAAACTCTGTGACCGTACAGTGATAGAGCTGGGC